AGCCTTGGACTAATGGAAACCTCCTACAGAGTTGCTCACAAGCCACAGATGGTTCATCTGCTCTAACCTTTCAAGACATAAGCCTCTACAGGCTCCCAAAAGCCATAAACAGGGGTGGGATCCAGTTTAGCCACTACACTGTGTAAGTATTTATAGTATTTAATTGGCCCAAATAGAGAAAGCTTGTTCTAGGGAACAGCTGGCAGTGCACAACAAGGCCAGTCCTCACCAAGGGGGGACGTGGTTTACAGACTGCTAGAATTGCCAGGAAAAGCAGAGAGCACCCATCCGCTCCCCTTCCAGAACGCTGCCCACATCACAGGCAGTCACTCCACCCTTCCCAAGGAGAGACACAAGAGAGAACTGTTCCAAGCCAGGAGAAGCCTACAAGCATCGCAAGCCTGTAAACACACAGCCTGCCAGCACATTCCAGTCTTGAGAGCTGTCTTGGCCTACCTTGACCTGACCCTGAGCAGTGCGAAACAGATCTGGTTGTTGAAAGGGCAATATTTCCCATGGAGTGTCACAATTTCCAGTAGGGAGGCTCCTGACTTTCCTCTGGTTGTGTAGTACACCAAGCACAGAAGCAGCTAAGCAGCCTGTTCCTACTCACACCTTTCTCATCCCTAGACTCTTTCCTATTACAGTCCACAAATCCCAAGTCTCTACCAGCAGCCAGGTCTGGGTCACTTGGGTTATTTGGCCTGTAGCCGTGTCAGCCCCCACCCTACAGGAGTGTGCTGTGAGAATCAGGCAGCAACTGCCAAAGATTCCTGGCCCCACCACAAGAAAGTCAAGCTGACCTTGAGCACTGACCCCAAATACAGATGGGAGCGCCTGACCACAGGAATCTCTGGCAGAGCCAGGCAAAGGTGTGTTGTCAGTGTAGGTTAACAAGGAAGTGGTCAATCTTCTTGCTACTCAGGTGGCGCTAAGCAAGTCGCCCGAAACAGAGAGCATTTTATCCGCTGCTCCTGGGGAAGCATTCCTGAGCGGGTCAGTGCCCGTAAAGTGAAATCCAATCTTTCCTGCAAGTGGGCCAGAGCAAGCATCTTTGTGCTGGGGTTCTGCATCAGACTTGTATGAGCCGACTATTCACAGAGTGAGAAAGAGATGCTGTTGAGGATGGGTGGGGTGGAAACGGCTGCCCAAACATTCCTGTCACAAGAAGGGAATCCCACCAGTATACACAGCCTAGCAGGAATTTTTCTGATGGCACAGCTCAGAGCCTGTATTTTGGCATCAGCTTGGGTGGTGTATCCTTGATTTCCACATTTATAAAGATCTCTAAGTAATGTATCTAAAAGTAACTGTATGAGGATTCTGCTAGTCCAGGAGTGGTTCCTATGCATCTCACCCCTCCTTGCCTATTTTTATAGATTTCAAATATTTTTGTCAAAAAAGAACTCCCATTTCTAGAAGCCTTCAGCAGCAGTTATTTTTTCAAAAAGGATGCACCCCTCCTCCAATAACCCACACATAGGTTTGTCCCAAAATAGCATTTTTACACCTCTGAAAGCTGGTTTCCAATTTCTTCCACTTTTAGTTTTGGACTGTGTGTGCCTCACAGTGATTCTTAGAAATGAGAAACTGGTGCCCATACCCTCCAAAAGTAGTATCAAACAGCAGCACAGAGGTTTTATCTAGTGTGCCTAATCCACTGATGACCATCGCTGCCTTCTACTAATCTGTAGGGCCAAGGACATACTATGTTGTTGTTGTTTATTCATTCAGTCACTTCTGACTCTTCGTGACCCCATGAACCAGCCCACACCAGAGCTCCCTGTTGGCTGTGGCCACCCCCAGCTCCTTCAAGGTCAAGGCAGTCACTTCAAAAATATTTATCCATCCATCGGCCCCTCTTCCTACTTTCATTTTCAATTGTTTTGTAAAAAAATGTCTGGTCATTAATGAAGGGATTAGCCTATCAATGTCTTGGGATATCTTTATCCTAATGTACCAGTGAGGTTACATATCAAATAACTTGAAAGCTTTGTTTTTCTGTATTTTTTTAATGCCAAAATCATGAATCAGTCCCCATAATCAATTTGTTTTGCAGAGTCACACACAGTAGACAAGATAGCTAGGCAACTTATTTGTTTTTGCTCAGTGTAGAACAGCCACAATTTTAGTAAGTTTGTTGTTTTTTCGTTCAGTCGCTTCCGACACTTCATGACCTCATGGACAAGCGCATGCCAGATCTCTTTGTCAGCTGTGGCCACCCCCAGTTCCTTCAGAGTCAAGCCAGTCACTTCAAGGATACCATCCATCTTGCCCTTGGTTGCCCTCCCTTCCTTTTTCCTTCCATTTCTCCCAGCATCATTATCTTCTCCAAGCTTTTCTGCCTTCTCATTATGTAGCCAAAGTACTTCATCTTTGGCTCTAATATTCTTCCCTCGAGCAAGCAGTTCGGCATTATTTCCTGAAGTATGGACTGGTTGGATCTTCTTGTGGTCCAAGGCACTCTCAGAATTTCCTTCCAGCACCACAGTTCAAAAGCGTCTATCTTCTTTCTCTCAGCCTTCCTTATGGTTCAGCTCTCACATCCATAGGTTACTACAGGGAATACCATTTCTTTAACTATGCGGATCTTTGTTGCCAGTGTGATGTCTCTACTCTTCACTATTTTTCAAGATTAGTCATTGCTCTCCTCCCAAGAAGTAAATGTCTTCTGATATCCTGGCTGCAGTCTGCATCTGCAGTAATCTTTGTGCCTAGAAATACAAAGTCTGTCACTGCCTTCATGTTTTCTCCCTCTATTTGCCAGTTATCAATCAGTCTGGTTGCCATAATCTTGGTTTTGTTCATGTTTAACTGTAACCCAGCTTTTGCACTTTCTTCTTTCACCTTGGTTAGAAGGTTCCTCAGCTCCTCCTCACCTTTAGCCATCAAAGTGGTATCATCTGCATATCTGAGGGTGTTAATGTTTCTTCCAGCAATTTTAACTCCAGCCTTGGATTTTTCAAGCCCTGCACATCGCATGATGTGTTCTGCATACAAGTTAAATAGGTCGGGTGCTAGTACACACCTCTGCTGGACTCCTTTTCCAATCTTGAACCAGTCTGTTGTTCCATGGTCTGCTCTTACTGTTGCTAATTGATCTTATACAGATTCCTCAGGAGACAAACTGACAGAACATGCCACAATTTATTATGGTCTACACCAGTGGTTCTCAACCTGTGGCTCCTCAGGTGTTTTGGCCTATAACTCCCAGAAATCCCAGCCAGTTTACCAGCTGTTAGGATTTCTGGGAGTTGAAGGCCAAAACATCAGGGGACCCACAGGTTGAAAACCACTAGTCTACACAGTCAAAGGCCTTAGAATAGTCAATAAAACAGAAATAGATGTAGGACATACTATATCTGAATGCTATTGTGACTCTCAACTAGAACAACCCGATTGACTCAATGAGATTTACCTATATGTTGCCTTACCATTCAAAGATTGATTCAATCAGTCTAGGTCACGTGTCAAACTCAAGACCTGTGGGCTGAATCTGGCCTACCACCTCATTTTATGTGGCCTGCAAGGTCCGGATCTTCCCTTTGCTGGCACTGCCCCCTGTGCCAAGCACTGTTTACATCCTCTGCATGCCAAACACAGGAGGAACCTAGTTATGAGGGAGCATGTTTCCAGCTGGAGACCATTTCCCTCTTTGTAGCGTCTGATGTCCTGGAGGTTACAGAACAGGAAAAGGAGGTGGTGTTGCTGCTTTGGCTGCGTTGAGAGGATGCTGAATGCAAATTGCCTTTCACAGTTAGGGATCAAATGTCTGGGTGAGGCTCCAGCAGGCACAGCACATGAGGCAGGTGGCAGTCTCTCTCTTCTTGCCCCCCAAGCCCAGGTATCCTTTTCCCTGAGGGGCCAGAGCTGGAGGTGAATACTTTAAAAAGGCATGCCCATGCCTGGCCCATTCCCCTCTTAGCTGAGGCAGAATACAGTGGCCCTCACTCTGTGGCACAAATTAGTAGGGAAATTTGATGAAAGATGGCTCCCACCACTTTGCTCTTGTCACAGAAGATCTGGGGATAATGAGATACATGAGGTTTGAACTGACATCGGTAATCAGTGAGTGGCTTTCATGTGGGAGGTGTTTTAGGTTTTCAACACAGCAACATAGTTTCATCTTTCTATTATTACTATAATCATCACTATCATTAATTTATCCATTTATTCATATAGCGCTATGTTTTAAGCTTTTGGTGCCAGAGCAAGATAGTTTCAATGTTTTCGAAGGCTTTCATGGCTGGAATCACTGGGTTGCTGTGAGTTTTCCGGCTGTATGGCTATGTTCCAGAAGCATTATCTCCTGATGTTTCACCTGCATCTATGGCAGGCATCCTCAGAGGTTGTGAGGTCTGTTGGAAACTAGGCAAGTGAGGTTTATATATCTGTGGATTGTCCAGGGTGGGAGAAAGAACTCTTGTCTGCTTGAGGCAAGTATGAATGTTGTAATAGACCACCTTGATTAGCATCTAATGGCCTTTCCGCTTCAAAGCCTGGCTGATTCCTGCCTGAGGGAATCCTTTGTTGGGAGGTTTTTGCTTCCTGAAGCAGACAAGATTTCTTTCTCCCACCCTGGAAATTCCACAGATATATAAACCTCACTTGCTTAGTTTCCAACAGACCCCTCAACCTTTGAGGATGCCTGCGATAGATGTGGACGAAGCATCAGGAGAGAATGCTTCTGGAACATGGCCATACAGCCCGGAAAACTCACAGCAACCCAAGATAGTTTCATTTTTATATTGTTGTTGTTGTTCATTTATTTGTATAGTGCCATGTATTAGATTTCCAATGCCAGGGCAATTTAGTTACATTCAACCATAAGGCTGATCTTATGGCTGATCTCAGTGAAAATGAGTTTGATATCCCTGGTCTAGGTGAACTGGGACTAACTGCAGGAATCAGCTCATGGAATGACCCAATAGTAATATGCAAGGAGGGAAGATGGGTAGAATCACACAGACACATGACATTGTGTAAAAGAAAAAACAAACTTTTGAAATATATATTTTTATTGGTTTTCTTAAAATACATCAAACAAAAACAAGTTTTAATAGTAAAGGCAATAGTGGGCCCATTTGGCCACCCAAATTGATCGATTCTTTAAAAATTGCTGCATCTTAATCCAGTTCCATTGAACACAGGACTGCTCTGGAGTCTGTCTGCTGCCCACAGAACAGGTTGAAACTGAATCCAAAACGTTCAACTTAACAGTGATTAGGCCTTAGGATTACATCTCTGTGGTAGCCATAAAGCCTACAAGGCTTTGGCCCCAATGCCCAATTCTTCTTGAGCAGACATGGGCAGACTGGTGTTTTGGACTTCAACTCCCAGAATTCCTAACAGCTGATAGGCTGTTAGGAATTCTGGGAGTTGAAGTCCAAAACATCTGGAGGGCCAAAGTTTGCCCACACCTGTTCTTGAGGCACTGCCAGCCTCTCGCCCATCTCTTTCAAGTTGTCAGACAAACTCAGGAAGGATGTTTGCCTGAGCATATATATATCACTCTCTCTGAGCATATATATCACTCTCTCTACTCAAGAATGGCCACAATATGCTTGTGCCTTGCTGCTCACCCCAAATGCCATGGTAGGACTTCCCCACCAATGCAAACACAAATTGCGCCTCTGTGCCAATCTCAAGGGAGCATTGTCATCTCTCTTCCCATCTCCTTGCATAGGCGTCAGCTCACTCACGGCCCTCCCAGGCATCTTCCCTCTGCTTGGCCTCCAGGCGCTTCCGTTCTGTGAGGAGAAAAGTGACAGATGAAGCAGGTGCCACATGGGGTGGGGCAGGTCCATCCATGCAGGGATGAGGCATGAGATCATTAACCTTTTCCATGGCCTTGGCACACTCCCTCTCCACTTCTTAGCACATTAGGCTCTGTCTCTGTGGCATGCCACACCATTTTGCCTAAACAAACTGAGGTTGACCATCCTGCTGGCACTTGGAGTAGCACACCCTACACCAGCCTCCTTGCAGATGGACATCCTTCTTTGCATCTCAGCCACGCTATGCAATGTCCCTGAGACTCATTTTAACCTGCAGATACATGGAACAATCCAGGGAGCGGCATCTCACCTCTGCTAGAATTGGAGACCCTGCTTGATGACCCAAGGGAAAGGCTAGTGAGCAGAAAAGAACAGGGGAACTGCAAAGTTGGCAGTGGCAATTAAAATAAATGAGCTATTCCTATGCATGACTTACACTGCCTCCTGCAGCTGGCCCTTGCTACCAGTCCAGTTCCATACAGCAGAAGGCAAGACAGGAGCGCCACCTAGTGTTCAAAACCACAATCTGCGGACTGGGCATGACCTCATTATTTTTCCATACACCATTTTTTCCTGGAGTGACTGACAGATAGGAATGCCCCATCGCCCTGCGCCTCCTCTCTCAAAGGCATCTACTGAGAGTCGTAAACTGATCTTGCAGTTTCAGGGATGCCATTGCTCCTACTCAGTAGATACAACAAAAAGGAATATGAAATCGAACAATCTCTGCTCTTATGTGGATCGAAGGAGAGGCATCTGCATATATACAGACCTAATGAAATACAGCTTTAAAAAAAGAAATAGGAGATAATGAATAAGGATACGATAACCTGAGCATTATGCATTATACATGTCTGATGTGAAATTATTCCAAAAACGCTGTGTTCACGGGGCACATACCCTCACCAGCAATGGTAATAGCTCTGGAAACAAGGCAGCAATTATTGGATACAGATCCTATTCAGAAGGGAGAGACGGACTAAAGCTACAGATAAAAAACCATCTTTAACAACTTCTGATTATGCAGGAAATGTCATAGAGACCTGCAGTAATCAACTCTTATGCTTCAGTTTCAAAAGAACAATCGGGCAGGAGACAGCCGAGGAACAAACATTTCACAAAAGAGTTTGCCTAAGAGCACTCCATGGGGAGAAGGAGCAAGGAGGAAACAGGCGGGGGAGTTCTTAATTGAGGAGAATCATCACGGAGAGAAGAGGCTACTTGAGAAGCTGGAAACTCACAGAATGACTGCTAACTCATTCGTGACACACAAAAAGGTAGTTGTTCAATGTTGGGTTTCATTGCTGGATTGCACAAGTGCCATCAAGTTTCCAGATCTCAATGAGTAGCTAGAGATAGGATATTTATTTATTTATCGTATCGTGCAAGTTTTGAAAACACAAAGTTTTAAAAACTTGGCATTATGCTAAACGTCCTTTGACCAGAAGCTGGCCACTTGGAGTGTTGTAGGATTAAGCTGAGGTGTTGCTGTGAAAAGGTCCCCCATTGTGCATGTGGCAGGGCTCGGGGTGAATTGTAGTAGATGATCTGTGGTTTGCTCTTCTCCACACTCACATGTCATGGACTCCACTTTGTAGCTCCATTTCTTAAGCTCTGCATCTTGTGTTGCCAGAACACAGCATGTTCAGAGCCTTCCAAGTTGTAGGATTAAGCTGAGGGATTCCTTTCTCCACTTCACCATGCATGTTTCCCAAAAGGGCTTCGTCTTCACTCCTCCTGCTCTCTCTCCACCCCCACTCCCCCTTTGATGATATAGGAATGGAATTATGTGAGAAAACTTCCTCTTTAAGTTTTATTGCCCTGGATTGACCATGTGGTCTCCACCATTGTCTCTTCTGTCTTTTCTTCCTTCTAGTAAGGACACATTTTGCCTCTCTTTTCAGACAAAATGTAGCTGCATTGATTTTTTAAAAACTTTTTAGCTTTTATTTCTTTAGAAGATGAGATTTAGTAAGCTAGTTAGCTCCAAGACCTTTTCTATCTAGAATGTATTTCTTTTACTTCAATAAAGATTTTAGAACCTAAAGTTCTGACTCTGCAATCCTGATCCATCCTAAGATATAGAAGGCTATCTCAATTCCACGACACCTACATTTCTGCTGGTTATGAAGTTTACTTCTTGCGCTCTGCTATGTTTATGGTGGAATCACCCCAACTGAATGTTATTTTGAGCCTAACAGCTCAGATTCCCCAACAGATCCAAACTCCGTAGAACCCCCTGGGATGAAGGATGGGAGCTAAGCTAGTTGGATTCATATGAAGACTGGATATATCAGGATATCCCATTACAAACAGGGGGCTAAGAGCTCCCATTATGCGCAAGGGAACTCCTTTCTTATGGGGATAATTCATTTGCACATGTCTCTAGGTAGCTGTGCCCTGGGTAGCTCCTGCTGGTCTCTCTCCCCAACATGAGTTCCCAGAAAAAAGAGAAAGACAGACTGGGAATGTGCAAAGACCTTGCTGATCTCATTATGGTTTCAAAGCAAGTATGACAAACCCGTGCATTCCTCTAGTCAGGCCTGCACGCTCCATCACTGTTATCGGGCTAGTGCAGCTGAAGGGCAGGCGGCGAGCCAGCTGCCATCACACCAAAAAGGGACAGGGTCATTAATGAATACAATAAGCAAGGGGCAACTGGATGGCCAAGGAGGAGTCATCTTTCTGTGGACTCATTGTAGCCAGGACCATGCTGGGAAAGCAAAAACTATTATTTCCTCTGTAAGATATCCCCTTTCACTGGACATTAGCAGGGAATGTTCTCTTTACCCAGAGGTTGGGAAAGTTAACTTTCTCGATTAGAACTATTAGAATCCCCCTAACAGCAGGGGTATGGCCATGCTGAGCGGGGAATTGTAGTCTAAACAAGGAACATTTCCAAGCTCTAAACAACCTCACGTTCAAGTGATTCTGTCTTCTACATCCTTACATCCTCTGCTTCCCCGGAAACTAGGATGCAGAACAATGGCTTCAAACTACAAGAAAGGAGATTCCATCTGAACATGAGGAAGAACCTCCTGACTGTGAGAGCCATTCAGCAGTGGAACTCTCTGCCTCAGAGTGTGGTGGAGGCTCCTTCTTTGGGAGCTTTTAAACAGAGGCTGGATGGCCATCTGTCAGGGGTGCTTTGAATGCAATATTCCTGCTTCTTGGCAGAGGGTTGGACTGGATGGCCCATGAGGTCTCTTCCAACTCTATGATTCTATATCCTTTCTACATCAGTACAGTATACATGGTGTTTCAACACTCAGCTACAGAGGAATCCACTGGTGGCTTGGGTGTCTCCCTCGAGTATGTAAGCAGGCAGGACAGGCTGTGTGACAGCAGTGGGAACCGTGGCAGGTTGAGTAGTGGACGTGTCATCCTGCTTTGCAGCAGAGAGCTAGGCCAGGCAGACTCCCCACGGATGCCCAGAACGTGGCTAGTAAGTGAGTGCAGAGCAGCCTGAAGCTGAGACAGAGACACAGCACCCCTTCACCTGCTCTCTACAACACGGCAGCCTCAATCACTGACATCGCACACACTTGCCTCCTCTGTAATCCAATATCAGCTGTTCTCTCAATCACCTCAGACCAACCCTGCAGTGTTACTACACCCTGAAGCTTACCTCGGGCAGCTTGTAACTGCTTGCGTTCAGCTTCACGTTCTTCCTTACTTTGCTTGCTCCGCACCCCAAGAGCTCCTGTCACCAGTCTCCTGGCCAGCGCAGCTGAAGTCTCTGGGCGCTCTTTGGCTGGCTGCAGGAACTCTAGAGGGTTCAACAAGGAAGCAACAAAGGTGTTTTGAGACACAACTACACCCATCTTCCCAAGAAGATAGGAATTAACAGATCAGTTCTTCCTCAAGCCCTACTTTGCTTGAAATGATACTAGGTGCATGTTAAGAAGGAGGGAAAGGATAAAACCCCAGTCATGGTCTGACTGCTCCCTTCTGCCACACAGATAGCAGAATATTGAAAGAGATTAAATGCACACTCAATAGATTTGCTCATGAATCTCAGGCAGTACTGTTCCATTATGTGGGTGGACTCCAAAAGTGGTCTAAGTCAGTGGTTCTCAACATATGGGTCCCCAGGTGTTTTGGCCTTCAACTCTCAGAAATCCAAGCCAGTTTACCAGTTGTTAGGATTTCTGGGCGTTGAAGGCCAAAACATCTGGGGTCCACAGGTTGAAACCACTGGGGCCTAGACAGAGAATGATAGTCCATTTTATTGGGGGGGGGGGTTGAAGAAGGAAAATCATTTCCCCCATTTTCGCTGGCTATTCCCCCCCCCCCAACACACACAGACACTTCCAATGTCATAACACACACAAACACTTCCCATGTTTCCACAACAGCAACACAGGTGAGGGAAATAACAGGAAAACAGGGGGAAATTGGCATACTGTTCAACACCCCTCCCCCCCCTCCCCGGTAAAATGGACTATCCTTCTCTGTCTAGACTCTCTTTCAGGCTCTGCCCGGATAATGGAACAGTATCCCTCAGGCTGAAGTAGGTACCAAAGGAATGATACTCAATAGACACTGAGAACTGGGAAGCCCTGGCCCTTGAGCGCTCCAGCTGGAGGTCAGCTGTGACCAGCAGTGCTGCAGAATTTGAAGAGGCACGAAGGTGAAAGAGAAACGTGCCAAGAGGAAGGCGCATCAAGCCAACCCCGACCGAGACCGCCTTCCACCTGGAAACCAATGCCCTCACTGCGGGAGAAGATGCAGGTCAAGAATAGGGCTCCACAGTCACCTACGGATCCACAAGAATCCTGATCCTGGAAGACTATCCTACTCATCCAACGAGGGATCGCCTAAGTAAGTACGCAATGCACCTCCTAAGAGTAAGTGTGATGGGCAAGGAGATGGGAATAAACTACATGCAATTGCCTGGAAGTTGTTTTCCTCTAACTACATAGCACTTGGCCCAGTTGTGCCCATGCTCCCAGTCTCTTTCTTCCACAATTCTACCCTGCAAACAAGCTATGGACACTGGCCAATACTAGGCACCTTTCAATTTGCCAAATGCTGCCAAGCATGAAACTGGGAAACCAACACACTTATTTTCTCTCTTCAGTTCAAGACTGAATTGATGTAGAGATCTGGGAGTCAGTATAGCTAAAGGGATGACCCAGCAAACCAGCACGAGGGATCCTTATTAAAACTGTAAAGTTTGAAAAAAACAATGGGCCCTTTTCCATTACCAGATGCTTTGCTGGACAGGAAGGATTCAGAAAAGCCAATATAAATGGGAAGGAGACTTAAAGCAGAGCCATTTTCATGATAAGTGGGTATTTTTACTGGTATTTCTTAAGTACACAAAACAACCTTTCACAGGTGTGGACATAATGGGTTCAGGAAGTTGGGGCAGCTAAAGCCTCTCTGCTATCATTACCTACCATTGGGATTAACATTGTTGTTATCTGTAGAAAGATAATATATACTATCTGCATGATCACAGGACACAGAAAGACCATAGAAATCTGCCTTATATCAAGTGAGATCATGGATCCATTAGCCGAGTACCATCAAATTTGATTGGCAGCTTGGGAGGGTTTCAGGCAAGATTCTTCCCCATTCTTATCTAGAGACTTCTGCTATTTCCAACACTAGAAGCTGCTTAGCTTCTAAAGGCCTCATCACACTAGAGAAAAAATCCACTTAAAATCCGGATTCTCGAGCCTTTAACAGCTTCACTAAACTACAAACCCCAGAATTCTGCAGAAGGCAGAAACCGGATATTAAGTGGATTTTTTTCTCTAGTGTGATGAAGTGGAAAATGAGATCATAAAGTTAGTAAAGGTTTTCCCCTGACATTAGGTCCAGTCGTGACCAACTCTGGGGGTTGGTGCTCATCTCCATTTCTAAGAGCCAGCATTGTCCACAGACACCTCCAAGGTCATGAGGCCAGCATGACTGCATGGAGCGCTGTTACCTTCCCGCCGGAGCGGTTCCTATTGAGCTACTCACATTTGCATGTTTTTGAACTTCTAGGTTGGCAGAAGCTGGGGCTAACATGCATATTCAAAATTGTATGATGCAGGCTGATCTGGTCTGACCAACCTGTCAACCTCAACCTCCAACCTCCTCAGGCATTGTGACACCTACTTGTACATACTGGGGTGATTGCAGCTGTAGGCCAACATATCTAAAAGTTACCAGATTTTTGAGGGGGTGGATAAGGGGGAAAGATGGACAAAATTATTCCAAACTCTCTCTTGTTCTCACCAGCATAAGCTCGAGCTTTGGTCTTTGCAGCACGTGTGGCATGTGACATTGGGCGGGTTTTCACCATCAGGTGTTTGGTAGTGAGAGCATCCCGAGCTGTAGTAAGAAAAAAAAAACAAAACCCCAGGCATTATACCAAGAAGTAGGCTAAGCATGGCTCTTGCATTTCTTGCCCAGTGAACAGGCATCAGACAGACAGACACCAAAGTCCCAAAAAGGGTGCCCAGCAGACGCCAAGGCAAACTGTGCTTAGAAACAGGCCATACCTGTGATGGGGCTGGAAAAGATGCCCAGTGCATGCGTGTCATCTACCCATTTAATGTCAAAGCCTTTCTTCCTGGCAAGGGAGAAAAGAAAAAGGTATCACAGCATTTCTGTGTGAAAATGCAATTTTGTGCAGTCCTGAGAAAAGCTTAAAAAACATGCAGAACTCAAGAAGCATTTTATGTTCCCTCTCAAATTCTCACTAAAAGGACACCTGGTGTTATTATTCCCAAAACAGGGAGAAGCAGCAACAGAACCAGTACAAACACAAGCATTTTTGGATCAAGGCTGGTGTTTGATATGGATTGTGTGATGTCCCCAGAGTGGTGCTGCTCAGTGAGCTGGAGCAATGGGAGTCACCCTAACAGCAAAGCCTTGGGAGTATTTAAGTAGGCAGGCCCAGAAAAAGGAAGGCTCAGAGTGAGGGCAAGTTCCATGTGCTCTGTTGCGAACCCTGACATCAACCTCAGCATTAAAAGATAATGGCAGTGTAGAGGAACGGTACAGAAAAACCTGCTCACAGGTAACTGCAGAAGACACGCATCAGGTCCTCTGTACGGAACTCAGCTGGGAAGTCGTAGATCTCAATGACGTGTGGCAGCTCAGAGTCGCTCAAGTCCAGGTCTGCTGGAGTGTAGTTATAGTAGTCAAACCGTGGCTCCTGCAAATCTGTAGTGGCTGGGGTGCAGGCAGACAGCTGAAAAAGGGGGCAAGGAACAATAGTCAGCCCAGTGTGCAGGTTACCGATCAGAAGGCTCTTGTTTCACACTTTCCCTAAAAGTAGTCAAACCATCAAGGGCCCCTGATCTTACCTAAACAAAATGATCTTCTCCCCTCCCCTAATTCTCACATGACAGGTAATACACATTTCGTCTGACTGCCAAGCGCCTTGGCGTGCCCCAGCCCTGGGCCTGCTAGCAGTCTGGGAGCGGGTGCACTGCCTGATTGATGGAGCCGTGGGTTCATGCTCTGGAGAAGGATTGATGGCCCAGGGGAGATTGGGAGTTATTGATCAGGTGCCTCCTGCTGCTTGCATATGTCCCTCATTAAGCATTTGCCTCTGCTGTTTTCCCAAGTCTAGGGAGGTGGCTCCCTCAGACTGTCTAGGGGAGACAAGATTAGGTCCTTGCTCTCAGGATCCAGAAGTCAAGGAAATTTGCTGGGGTCTTGCTCCTAGCCTTTATGCATATTGATCCTTCAACACAATGCACAGCAGGGAATTAGTAGCACCAAAACTGATTCTCAAAGACAGCTGCAAACCTCAGCTTACATAACCAGTAATTATCTGGACAAAGGCAGAAAAATTAACATAGATAAGGGAATGGAGATGAATTGACAGGTGGGACCCAACCTGAGAGAAATAATGGCCATATGGAGTAAACCTGGACACAATTATTCCACAAGGATAAGCTACTGTGCAAACAGATTCCAAACCTGAGAATACATTAACACATTAATGCATATCAATAACTGGTAATGATATAAACTATTCAGAGGGGTGTGTACATGAGCTCTAAAGTAGGTTCAGAAAGTGCTAGGGTACACTCCAGTATCATGGTTCCCAACTCCAGCAGTTGTTTGACTGCTTGTGGATGGGAAAGAATGGAAGCATGAAGTAAGCCAGCTCTAGTAACAACTCCCAAGGGAAATTAGTTTTTTGGCAATTACTGCAGGGTATTCCATGTGCAGTTGCCCATGAAAAATACTCAGAAGATACAGCTCATGAAATATGTCACAACCAGAATAGGCTTTGGCGTCTGCTTTTTTGATCACATTATGTCTGTCTTGTTTAAAATATACCTGATTCTGCTTTGTTTCTAGGCGCACCCCAAGGTTCTGTTTATAGTACTCCAAAAGTTCAAAATGGCTTGCAAACAGAATTCTTGAAGGGTTATGACCTGAACCTGAAATTGTCTGTCAGTTGTGGTTATCTTCTGAGGGACTACTTTGTACTATCCTACAAAAATTGAAGGCTGATGAAGAAGTGGAATGAGGTGTTTTCAGCTAGAGCACCACTGGAGATTAGACTGCTCTGTTCAGTATCATCGTTTGGACAAGTAGCTCCAATGTATTAATTCTGTGGATCTATTCTATTTTGCCTTTTAAAGTGTTCTCCACTTGACAGTGATTAAATTTGATTTGTCACACGCCATGTTGGGATACTTGTAGAGCAGGGATAGGGAATTACAGAGGGCTTCGGGGCCATTTTGCCCATGAGAGGCACAGCCTTTCTTGGCACGAGTATAGGTGCCATCACACCATTTCCTTTTCCTGATAGTTTTTAGGATTGGAGGGGGAAGGGAGTCAAACTGCCATGTTTTACTATTTGCTTTTATTATTATTTTGAATGCATTTTTGAGCTGAAGTGTTTTTTAAATGGGTGGTCTGTGGGCCTCAGATGTTCCCAAGTAGTTTGGGGTTGGGTGCTGCCTGCAGATCACACTTCCCCCACTACTGTGTAACATGAGGATAAAGAACCACTTTCAGTTTGGGGGTCAAATCTAACTTCAGAGGAGCTTCCCAGGAGGGGAGGTGGCATTCTGGTGGTGGCTGGAACACAAAGGCAAAATACCCCCAAATGCTAGCTTCTGCCAGCAACTACATTCCATCCATTCAGAATGGGGAAAATGGTCCATATAACAGCTGGGAAAGTACCAAGTGAAAGTGTCAATAAAGAAAATGCCATAGCTATTTTGGAATCTCGGGATGGCCAGATTGAACTCCAGGGTCTGAGGATCCCCACCCCTGCTATAAAGCAATATAAACATATTTTAATAAACAAGTACACCATTGTTCCTATTCACAACAGAACTGCACTGCTTGCCATGGTCATCTTGGTCCCCAAAAGCTGATGCGATGGCTGCCCCGGCAGAAAAGATATTGGGGTTCTCTCTAGCAATACTCCAAAATGTTGGCAGAGAAATAATGGCCTTTTACCCCTTATGTGCACCTGAAAGACCCAATGGGCAACACTCTCTACCTTGGCCTAACCATGCAGCCCTGCTCCAAAGGGATGGCTTGATGAACCTTCAACCTCTAAGCCTGCCTAGTCACCCATGGCTACAGGGAGAGAGATTGATTGCTGGATGCTGGGCCCAGCTGTCAGTGATTTGTGCAGAGACAGACTGCTCACGCTGGGTCCCTAAGCTGCACAGATCAGCACACGTTGCGTTGGCAAGGGAGTCTATAATTCAGGCAGACTCCTGTCTGCTTCCCCAAGTACCCAGGACCAGCGTAAGCCAGGGCTGTCCATGGAGAGTATATAAATTCCAGCCACTTCAGTCAATAAGAGATGGTAATTCAGATAAGGAAGGTAAATTTGTGGGTGAGTCAGAGCCTGGTAGAATAAAAGGGGGAAAGAACTGAGTTATAGCAAGAAAGGCAGGAAGAAACACGTGTCTCAATGGGTTAAACAGAAGCCAAGCTATGAACCAGAGCATTTGGAACCCAGATCCAGGAGAATCAGGCCTGCGGGAGCAGGGACCTTATAATGCTCAATGGTGTGGCAGAATACCAGACAGCACGGAGAGAGCACACTGCTTGAGCACCTTGCCCTTCACAAACCACTAAACCCAGCAGAAGAAACGCCAACAGAAAGGGAATGCTGGCTTAGTGCAGAGGGCAACAGATCCAAGCATTGCAGTTCACCACACACACAAATTGGAATTTGTCTACAGAGCCCACAGACAGGGGAAGGAGGGGAAGCACTTCTTAAAGCTTGGTGTGCTCTGCGCAATTTTAGTCTATGCAGCTTTGGTGTGCAAGATTGCATCAAGTAATGCAATGGGGCGCATGGCATCATGTTATTGCAAGTATGTTTGCAACGATCTGCACACCACTGAGAGGGCAAGCCCATTAAAAGCTGGAGTTTCCTGTCTTGGGTTGCTTACAGGAACCGTGCCCCCTAAGCGCTGCATTAACACAGTCCCAGCCTCCTGTTCACAGTCTCCTTCCCAGAGATCGCTAATGTTCAAGGCTTGTCCTGTGCTGGGAAAGGCTTTGCCAGCGGATACACAGGCAGCAAGGAGCAAAAGGACACAGGAAATGAAGACTGTCTGCTACGGCTCAACGCTCTCCAAGATTTATCCGTGACGGTACATGTTCCAAGCAAGCGGGGCAGCATGCTGACTGCTGCTCGTTTCCTTAGCATTCATGACAGAGAAGACAGCCAACAAAAGACAGGGTGCCGATGACAGGTTTTGGACAAGCCCCATTCCCATGAGAAGACCATCTCGCCAAGAGACATAAATGCACAACCTCCAAATTCCCAGTGTATTAATTCTGCATGCACTGAGGGCTGGGAGGTTTCAGCCTCCCAAAACAGAGTTTACCAAAAACGATTTCCCATGATACACTATATTTCCATGGATGACGGCAGTTTCTATGGTTAACTGAAAGAATTACATGGATGCGTAAGTCTGTAAAGACAACCATATTCTTTGATGGTGCCAAACATACAAATACAAACATTAGCTGTTATAGATTAATTTTTTTGGTTCTGACTTGGGAGAAATAATCTCTTTTTGAATGAGGGGGATACAAAGTTATTTTCTAATTAGACTGAAAGAAAAAGGGCTGGATTGGATGGTCCGCAAATAAATAGAACTGCTCCTGTCTCAGACTTGTGTAGACATGCCTGCTGACAGCCAAAGCATAAACCCATTCAGAACACCTCCCCTGGCATGAATACGGCAACATCTTCTGGCTGTCCTACTAATTCCCATTTTCACAGACTCCTAACCTTAATACACAAGCCCTTATATAACATAAGTCACACTGACCTTATTGTGAGGGACTAGGTTAAGTTTTTCATTTTCATGGAGCAAGTAATAGCAAAGACACAACTTTATTTAGACGTGATTTGTTTTCTCAAGATTGCCATTTTTCCCTCTATTTTTAACAGCATCTTCTTCTTTTTAAAACACAAATGGGTTATGCATAAGTGTATACTGACATCAACACAGTGACTATGTTACAGCTGCAAAAAAAGCTCATACCCTGGATTTTGCTGGAAGCCTGTTTGCAAATTTTCATTACCACCTTTTTCTGAATACTCAAAAATCTTCTGATATCCAACTTCCTGGTGTACATGCAGTTAAAAGAGAAGGGTTTTAACCCAAGTAGAGCACTTCCCCCTGCTAATTTATAAAACTCCTTTGAATAATCCACTGCAGGACAGAAGTAGGTTGACCCACAATAATGGTTTATCACATAATGAATATTGTTGCAGATTCTGGTGTAACTAAAAGAGGAAATGCACTCTTTATTAGAGTAATTCCCCACTGGCAGCTTTTAATGTTTTTTTATTTTTCTGCATCTTCTGATGCTGGTTTTTTATGGGAGGTAAGAATGCCGCCTACTCCACATCCCCAGATCTGTCACAGTTTCCAACCCAAGTCCTGTTTTATCCACACAAAATCTTGTACCTCATTAAAGAAGTACAAGCTTTGGTATAATTGGTCTTGACAAAAATCTTGTGCTGTTCCTCTTCCTGGCTACTGTCCTTTCTTCTCTTTCATTATCAAAATACTTTTCTTCTTTAAGCTGAATTTCTAGCACAACCCCCTTTTGCCAGGACATGCTTAAACTACATTGTCTAATTTCTCTTACAACAAGAAAGTAAATCTACAGACTTCATGAACACAGAGCTCAGCTTTTGCCCAATAAGTTGACTCAAAATTCACTCTCTTGGGTGGA